CTATAATTAAAAACAAAGATATTTCAGAGAAATCCACACTCATGTGTTAATTAATTTTTTTAAGGGCCAACTTATTTATGCCATAGACTTGATGATTCCCAAGTCCTTTTATTGACTCTCTTTTATCCATGTTCAAATAGTTCAGACTGAATTCCAGGTAACAGGTCATATTCCTAACCATTGAGTTCATTTGGTCTCAAAATAGTACTTCTTCAAACATAGACATAAAATTTCTAGGGAAGACAGCACTAATTAACTGACTTTGTTAGAAACTATGTTAGTGTTTTCCCTTTCTATTATCAAATAACACGATATGCTTAAGAGTTCTGACATAACTTTTCTCTGCCAAATTATATGTTGTTAAGTGCAGATTTAAATAATCATTTTTTAGTCTTGTTATTTTCTTACATCATACATTACATTTAGCGTAAGTTGAATATACCAGATGAGCTCAACAAATATATCTTTTTAAAAACTCTGTTATCTGAAAAATTTTCAAATACAAAGAAAAGTTGAAAGAAAAGTAAAATTAACACCTGTATACCATTTGCCTCGATTCACCAATTGTTAACACTCTGCCACATTTACTTTTTCCTGCCTTTCTCATATAGAATACATAGTTTAAAATGAATTCTTTTTTGGAAACCATAGATTGTATTTATTTGTATCTCATAGAGTGCTTTAATCATGCACAGAGGATTTTGTGAACAGAGAAAAACTAATTAGAATTAATCTTTTTAAAATAAAAAAAACTTACAGTAGTACTTCCAAAGCTTATTTTTTTAATCTTTGAGTTTAATTTATATATTATTATTCTAAATTTGGTATAACAAATGCAATCATCTTTACTTTAAAAAAATTAATGGTTAATGCAAATTGAAAATAAGCTTCCTTATAAATTACCATAGGTATAATTTAATTGATAATTTTCTCAAATGTTAAATCATACAATTATGTTTACTCTTTTAAAGTTTTCTAAAGCTTTAAAAACTTTACCTTGAGGGAAAAAACTCTTCATAAGTAATGAAACAATTTTAAAAGTTCTATTAAATAAGATTTATAAATAAAGTACTCAAGATCTCTTAAATTCTGTTTATATATTTGGTCTAATTCTTATACCTGCAATTTTAATGATCGTAATTATAACATTAATTACATAATTAGATATATTAAGTTGGAAATATAATTAATTTTGAAATCTCTTAACCTTTAAAGCACTAAATATCATGTGTATGCATACGTTCCAAACTAAGCAAAAATGCATTAGTAACATGTAATATAATAATCATATCTATTTTAGAACTAGACCAAAGTTATTCGTCTCTCACTAAGAAAATCATTTTACCACTCTGCTTTGAGGTTGCTGTTTCCAGCAACCTGCTGTTATCATTTGTTTCTTGACCAGAGATTTTTGCCCAGGACAGGACAACTGAGCTAGGCATGGCCAGGACATCCTCCCAGTCCAACTGGTGGGCACACTGTTCCTAGCGGAGGAATGTGAGGACATGCAGCTTTCATACATCCGCAGCAAAGTGAGGGTCATCTACAAGGCCCCTTCTAAAAACTGGGCCATGGAGGGAGGCATGGATCCCGAGTCACTGCTGGAGGGGAACGATGGGAAGACCTACTTCTACTAACTATGGTACGATCAAAACTACGCGAGATTCGAGTACCCTCTGAAAACGCAGCCAACCAACCGAGGACAAGTTCAAGTTCTGTGCGAGCTGCGCTCGTCTGGCTGAGATGAGGCAAAAAGAAATCCCCCGGGTCCTGGAGCAGCTCGAGGACCTAGACAGCCGGGTCCTCTACTACTCAGCTACCAAGAGCGGCATCTTGCACCGAGTCGGTGACCGCGTGTATCTGCCCCCCGAGGCCTTCATTCAACATCAAGCTGTCCAGCCCTGTGAAACGCCCATGGAAGGAGCCCGTGGACGAGGACCTGTTCCCAGAGCACTACTGGAAGTACTCCGACTACATCAAAGGCAGCAGCCTGGACGCCCCTGAACCCTAGCGAATTGGCCGGATCAAAGAGATCTTCTGTCCCAAGAAGAGCAACGGCAGGCCCCATGAGACCGACATCAAGATCCGGCTCAACCACTTCTGCAGGCCCGAGAACACGCACAAGTGCACCCCGGCGAGCTGCCATGCAGACATCAGCCTGCTCTGCTGGGGCGATGAGGAGGCCGTGGTGGACTCCAAGGCCGTGCAGGGCCGCCGCGCCGTGGGGTACGGGGAGCACGTGCCCGAGTGTGTCCGGGAGTACTCCGTGGGCTGCCCCGACCGCTTCTACTTCCTTGAGGCCTGTAATGCGAGGAGCAAAAGCTTTGAAGATCCTCCCAAGCATGCTCGTAGCCCTGGAAACAAAGGGAAGGGCAAGCCCAAGTCCCAAGCCTGTGAGCCGAGCGAGCCGGAGACCGAGATCAAGTTGCCCAAGCTGCGGACCCTGGACGGGGTTTGTCGGAGGGATTCCGCCGAGCGGGCATCTCTGAGACGCTGTGGGCCATCGAGACGTGGGACCCCGCAGCCCAGGCGTTCCGGCTGAACAACCCCGGCTCCACGGTGTTCACAGAGGGCTGCAACGTCCTGCTGAAGCTGGTCGTGGCTGGGGGGGGGGGGTGGCCACCCACTCCCGTGGCCAGCGGCTACCCCAGAAGGGAGACGTGGAGACGCTTCAGCGGCATGAAGCGCTTCAACTCGCGCACGGACTCCAAGTTCAAAACCTCCCCGGTGGTCCCCTTCCTCAGCTACTGTGACTGCTCCTGGCCCCGGTTCTTCCTCCGGGAGAACGTCGGGAACTTTGTCTCCTTCAAGCGCTCCGTGGTTCTGAAGCTCAGCCTGCGCTGCCTGGTCCGCATGGGGGGTCAGTGCACCCTTGGCGTTCAGCAGGCCGGTCCATGTGGCGTGGCCCAGACGCGGAGGCGGGCCACCATCCTGGCCGCAGCCCCTGGAGAGAAGCTCCCCCTGTTCCCGGAGCCACTGCGTGTGTTTGCGCCCCGGGCCTGCCCGCTGAGCGTGGTGGTGGACGACAAGAAGTTCGTGAGCAACATTACCAGGTTGAGCTTGGGTCCTTTCCAGACCGTCACTGCGCGAGACACGATGTCTGACCTGGCAGAAGTTATGAACGGAGCCTCGGCGCTGGAGATCTCCTGCAACCGGGAGCCTCCGTCCCGGTTCCAGAGGCAGCTCCGGGGCACCCAGCACCAGCCCATCCTCAGGGACCACCTCTGTAAGGACGTCAGTGCACTGATGGCCGCCCGCATGCACCACATCCCCTTGGCCCCCGGCTCAGACTGGCGAGATGTGCCCAGCATCGAAGTGAGGCTCTGGCACGGCACCATGGCCTGGAAGCTGCGGTACCCCCACCCCGACAGGAGGAACGGTCGCAGCAGCTCCGGGGCCCTCCATGGGGTCTGCTCTGTGTGGAAGCTGCAAAGCCTGCGACCCTGCAGCTAGGCAGTTCAACACCCTCATCCCCGGTGCCTGCCCCACACTGGGAACTGGCACAGCCACTGGGCTGGCCTCTACGGAAGGCTCGAGTGGGGCGGCTTCTTCAGCACAACCGTCACCAACCCCGAGCCCTTGAGCAAGAAGAGCCTCGTGCTCCACCCCGAGCAACACCGTGTGGTCAGTGTGCGGGAGTGTGCCTGCTCCCAGGGCTTCCCCGACACCTACTGGCTCTTTGGCAACACCCTGGACATGTACTGGCAGGTGGGCAATGCCATGCCGCCACCCCCGGCCAAAACCATCGGCTTGGATAGCAAGCTCTGTGTGTTGGCCAAAGCCCGAGAGTGCCTCAGCTAAAATAAAGGAGGAGGAAACTGCTAAGGACTAGTTCTGCACTCCCGTCACCCATGTTTCTGGCACCGGGAATCCCCAACATGCACTGATGTTGTGTTTTTAACATGTCAGTCTGTCCGTTCACATGTGTGGTACATGGTGTTTGTGGCCTTGGTTGACATGAAGCTGTTGTGTGAGGTTCACTTATCAACTAATGATTTAGTGATCAAATTGTGGAGTACTTTGTGCATTCTGGATTTTAAAAGTTTTTTATTAAGCATTATATCAAATCTACCACTGTATGAGTGGATATTAAGACTTTATGTAGTTTTTATATGTTAAAGTATTTCTTCAAATAAATCTCTCCTATAAACAAACAAGATAAAAAGTGAGTTTTGGGAAAAGATTCTAAGTCCCTCTGCTTCAGAGCTCTTGATAGTTCTGGGGTTCAAGTTATACTTTCCTTTAAGTTATTTTAATGTCTTTTTTCTGACTCAAAAGACACATGGTTATTCCTGAGACCCTGCCTACATTGCGTAATTGCTCAGTCTGATTTTAAGTCTATGACTGCACCACGTTGCAGCTAACTTCATTCAATCACGTTGACTGATTAAATTCTGAGCGCTTTTTATATTCTTCCTATCTGACTGAGCCACAAATTTACAAATTGAATGATAACTGATTGGATTATATCATCTTTGTTAAACTTGGTTGTTCCCACACTAAAATGATATAATGATGGGAATATCTTGTTACAAGACCAATTTCAATTAGCTGACTGACATATAAAACATATAATCATCACAATAACAATAATAATGATAAAGCCCTGATGATATGAAGGTTAAAAGAAGTCTAGGAAAATAAATGAAGCCAGGGTCTTTACCACAATCTCATATAGGTCTTAATATTTACCAGCTATTCTTCGAAGTGCTTTACTCTTAACTACCTTACTGAATGCAGTTCCTTTTTTTATTTGTAAATGAGGAAACCGAGGCACAGGGAACTTAACAACTTACCCAAGTTCACACTTAGTAAGTGACAGACTCTGGAATCAAATCCTAGGAGTCTTACTCTACCATCCATGCGCCTAACAATGATAGTATTAATATCATAAAATACATATTATAGATATGGATGTGTTTAATATAATTGTGACTTATACCTTGTCTTCAAATCCAGAAACAAATACTGACTTCTCTTTTACTGATGCTCCCATGTAGGTACTGAATTGTTTACTGGACTCTACAGTGACTACTGGATCAGAGATGCTTCGATCTTCCGCAGCATGGGACGACTGTCCCATATCCGCACTGAGCATGATGATGAGCGTCTATTGAATGGTAAGGACGAGGAGAAGAGAATGTGAATTAGGATTGAAACCAACTTTAAAACCTATGGAAAATGTTGCCAGTTTGATAATAATGAGAATACAAATACAATTCCTTTACAAATTTCAGGATGCTTTACTAGCAATATTCTTTAACTAAAATATTGTGTATGATACGTGTATATAATTTTCTATCAAAACTGATTGGCTTAATTATAAAATCAGTATGCCTTTTGAGCAATACTTAGAAATCAGTATTTAAATAAGGAAAATAAAACAAATGTGTGAAAAGTGAAAAGTCCATATCCAGTAAGCTTTTTTGTCTACTTTTATCTATTGTTATAATTTTTGATGAATTGATTGCCCTACTTTGCTTGTTTTAATAGGATTGCATTGCACTTTAGAGACAAAACTCTAGGAGAGTCACTAGACATTCATTGATACAGAATTCTTTGTAAGAAGTAAGTTTTCTGTTTTGGCACACAGGTATATGTAGGTGCTAGAATATTGTTTTATGGTGAGCATTTTAATCACTTTCCACATTTTTATTGAGCTTTAAAATGCATAGTCATTATTGATGATACCTTTTACATGTTTTACATACCATATCAAAGATCATTTATTCAAATTTCTTGGACTGCAGTCTCAAAAATAGAATATAAATTTTCTACTTTGAAATTAAAATGATCTGTGTGCTCTACTTGTAGATAATTTATGAATTAAAAATAAATAATAATACATTTATTTATTGTGACTTTATTTATTTAATATGTTACTTATACTTAGATTTCATTTTTACCTACAATGGGAGGAAATTTATAGATTGTCTTCACCGTGCTCACAATCTGTTCCTGAATGCATTTTAAGTTCGTATTGCATGTTGTTTGAAATTGTTCTTTTCTCCTGGATTCTTTTATTTTCTGATTAAATATTCTTGTAATCTTTCTAAAATGGCTGTTAATATGCAAATAAAGTAGAAATTTCTTCATCATGTTTAAGTTTGGTAAAAAAAATTCAATAAAAATATTTCTTTTATGAAACAATGAAAGTTAAACTGAAGGATTCAGATGATATATAATTTATTGGAATAACTTATTAGCATTGTGCTGTAATATCTGTTTCACTTTCTCTCCTATATTTTGTTCCTATAGAACCAAAATTTGTAGGTTCATACATGATTCCTGACAATGAAGACAGAGATGACAACAAAGTATATTTCTTTTTTACTGAAAAGGCACTGGAGGCAGAAGACAATGCCCACACAATTTACGCCAGGGTGGGGCGACTCTGTGTGGTGAGGCTTTCTCTCTCATTATGCTTGCTTATCTCACAATTTATGGTCAGGCCTTTATTAAGTTTAAAGTAAGTTTCTACTTTTAAATATTTTCTAGTACTCTATAGAATTCTAGAATTCTATAGACTGCCTACCATTGATATTTAGTATACCAACGTCTACATTTCATATCTAGTAAACGATGTATCTTAAAAGAAACTTGTATTTCATGTGATTTTCCCCATTTTTGAAGCCATACCAAGAAGCCATACTAAGAATGGTCTGTAATTAGACCATTCTTCTTCCCAGGCAGAAGTTTGAACTTTATTTTTCTTAATGAATTTAACCAAAATCTTTTTTATTCCTTTAGTACACAGTACAAATAATATACATAGCTATGTTTGAATCATTTGGTTGGTTAGGGTTATTTTAAAAAGCCATCTGTAGTTTATTGAATATTTAGAGAAGTTGTTTGGGAACATTTAAAACCAGTAGGAGTAGCAACATATATTGAGCTAATCTAATAAAATTACAAATGCAAAGTTACCTTGGCATTTAAGAAGATGTTTAAGAATAAATTTACACATATATAAATATATGCATATATGTATATTGTGTGTGGTGTATGTCTATATGTATATACATGTATAGCATAGACGTGTGTGTGTGTGTGTGTGTGTGTGTGTGTGTGTATTTCAAATTTTCTTGAAAAGCTTTCTTCCTTTAACAAACAATGCTTCTATATTTCTGAGAGAGGCAGATTGTTTACAAATAAAGTAATAATCATGATTACTGTATCTCTCCACTATTCTATTTGGGAGATATTTCTATATTAATATTGTTTAATATCTGCAAAATATATTTAATATATCAGGTGAAAGCACACTGATAAGGCAGAATGAAGAAACAAAAGCAAGAGAAAAATTGTGGGGAATTGCACGTTTGACGTTACTTGAGAATTATGTCAAATTTTCCTAGTTAAAAAAGTCATAATGCTTAGCATCTGCATGTTTAATAATACAGAATCTATGGTTGGTCAAAATTCTTTAGGGTATCTATTTACCTCCTTTTGTTTTTCACAGAATGATATAGGAGGGCAGAGAATACTGGTGAATAAGTGGAGCACTTTCCTAAAAGCCAGACTGGTTTGCTCAGTACCAGGAACAAATAGGATTGACACATATTTTGATGAATTAGGTAAATGCTTTTAGGTGAATTAAATTTGCTCTTTTGTGTATATGCTTTGTAACTTTATCTCTAGGACAAATAGAAAACTTGTTTTCTGTGTATTTGACCTCTGTCTAACATAGAGCAAGTTTCTGTTCTTTTCATTTTGGCCAGGCCCACATGCTGGGGGAAAAGAAATTGCAAGAACAAAAACAGGCTCATCTTGTTAGCTTAGAGTCAGTGTCTGGTTCCATTCTGTTGTTCAGCTCAAGGCCACCCAGAGCAGCTGAAGGATTGGTTCTGTTGAGGCTTGGTCATGGTTGTACAATTGTACATGAAAACATACATCTTAAAATCTATATTGGGTTCTAAACAAATTTATGTCAACACATTTTCTTTCCATGTAAAGAGAGCTAACAATACTAAGTGATGAAATGGTCTTTAATTTTTCAGAGGACGTTTTCTTGCTACCTACCAGAGATCATAAGAATCCAGTGATATTTGGACTCTTTAACACTACCAGGTGAGAAATTTATGCAGCCAGTAAAACAATATAATTCAAGAGATACCTCACTGGACTCTTCCTTCTTGGTGTATGTAACTTGAAAGACTATTAACCCAATTGCTGTTCTCATTTTCTATTCTTTATAAATCACCAGTTGATCTTTATTCTCCAATGTTTGCAAATGTAATTTCATTTTCCAAAGCTCAGTCTCAATCCAAATCCTGTTTTAGTATCGTACCCAGAATCCTCCCGTGCTCAATATTGGACTCTCTTCACTCTCTAACATAGAACACAGTGATTTTTTTCCCACATACAATTCATAAGATATCAGTCCTTACAATGTGTTGTTATTGTAAAAGTCTAGGATAATTTCTTTATTCATCATATAAAATTTTCCAAGCCAGGCTTTCAGGCTTCTGTATCAGCCGTTACTCACTCACCTCGGATATTTTCTCTCTGAGTTCACTAACGGTCTGATTCTGAGAAGATAATGCCTTGACAGATGCCAGTCAGTATCTGCTTTGCTAGTTTCCATTACTATGTTTTTATTTATTCACTTATCTTGCTTGAAATGACTTTCTCCTCCAATACTGATTTAAATCAGTTCTCCAATGCTTATCAATTGCCATATCCAAGAAAAGTTCCTTGATTTCTTAATCCCAGAGCACTCTTCTCACTCCTTTATTCTGCTTTTCCTGCTCTTCTGTTGATTTACATGTTCATCATTTCCTCTCTTTTAAATTTGCTGCTCAAGTTTAAGATACATAATCTTTTGTTTTCCCTTTTATGTTTTTGTATTTTTTACCACGGGAAAGTTCTATAAAAATGGGTAAAATATTACTTCATGTATTTTGATACACAAATAAAAATATTAGAATCAGTTTTTTTATAATGTTATATACACAATTTCCTGAGTATCTTTCTAGATAAGGCATAGTGTACGTGAAATGACTAGGATAAAAAATAAAGAAGAATATACCTCAGTTATCTTGACAGGGCCAGAATAATATTACTGAATTTCTCTTTCACTTTGTATAAGCCATAAACTGTCACATAATTATGTACACTGTGTTTACGTGGGATCTTTCCACACAGCTTTAGTTTTTATTTTTCAGCAGGTGGTTTTTAACGCTCATGTTAGACAAGAATATAATATATCTTTTTAGGCAAGAATCCTGCTGTTGCAAAGAGACCTTTCCTTCAACAGAGAAACATGGAAACAATTTGTCTATCAATTATTCTTTGATGCAAAGAAAAATAGTTAATGTAAGTTGGTAGTTATCTCAGTACATGGAAAATACTTAACTTTTTTAACTTCAACTCATTTCTTACGCTGTGAATAATTCATACATTGCCTGATAATTCAGTGGATTTATATGATAAATTTAAGCCATGGAATAATTGGTCTAGTTTTTCTGTGGGTTAATAAGATCAGATTATAAGCTGTTTTCCTAAATGATAGCATAAGGGCTTTTTCTGAGAAATCAAACGTAACACATGACTTTCTACTATAATTTCTGTTTTGACTGTTTAATTTATATAAATCTGAGAACAAAAGCTTCCCAGCTGTTACCTGACATAAGGATTGATATTTGTAGAATGGTGATCAAAGGTGTGCTACTACTTTAGTTAGGGGGCTATCTCAAGTGTTCCCTGTATCCTAGGCATTTCCAATTGCTTCAAGGTGTGTTATAAAATCTGTAAATTGGTGCTGTAGGACAATAATATAACTTCTGTTTTACAGGTGTCTCAGGATGTAGGAAACTTTATTTATATAGAACTTTGAATTTTGCAAAACACTTTCACAAACATTAGTTATTTGGATTCTTACAATACAGAGAATCTGATAACATTAAAATTCATTCAGTTCATGCTAAATTAAGAAATATGGCCAGACTGTTTTAAAAAATAATCTTTAAAAATGTTCTTTTGTAGACTCTGATTACAAATGCCTTCAATGAAGCTTCCATAGTTAGTCAACTACTGCCTTTATCCTGTCAAGTAGAAATTTTAGTCAAGAAAATTATTTTGCTTGCTGTTAGTTCTGGAGATGAAAGACCTAATTTTTATATAATGAAATTTTCTTATGCTTAACATATGCAGTCCAGTCATCTTTTTACTATAGATACTTTTCAGTGCCTGGAGGAAGAAATATACAAGCATATTAATGTTTATATGAACCCAGCTAAAAAATGGGAAAAAAAAGGCTTAAATTTTCATAAGACTTTAAATTGTTCTTGAAGTCACATACATTAATACATTTAATACCTCTTAATAGAATTTGTAGCAATAGTAACAGCATAGTGAGTGAGAAAACACTGTCTACTTTGAAGATAAAACAATGTAAAAGGAGATAATACCTAAATGAGTAATTCAACTTGGAAATGTCTTTGTTAATATGAAGGCCAGATCTCCCTTAATAAAAAAATATAAAACACAATACCAGGGTTTAAAATAAGTGAAGTAACATTATTTTTGTCATTCTAACAGTGCCATCTTCAGTTGTATTAAGTAGGCAATTAAGAAAATGATAAGTTTTAGAGTTTCAAAATTTGAAATATTGCAATAGTTAACATATCTAGAATATTTTTTGCTTAAAGAAATTACAACTACTTTACCCAAAAGACTTGACTTTTATCTTTGTAGGCTGGAGTGTTTGGCTAAGTGACCTGCTAGTTAGTTCCAGAATAATAATTATCTTTTTTTGTATTTTCAGTAATGTTTTTCGAGGGCATGCTATATGTGTCTATCATATGTCTAGCATTCGGGCAGTCTTCAACGGACCCTACGCACATAAGGAAGGACCTGAATACCACTGGTCAGTCTATGAAGGAAAAGTCCCTTATCCAAGGCCTGGTTCTGTAAGTTTACTTATGTAACAAATAATTCTTACTTTAAGGACTCTTTTAGTAATATTTTGTTCACTGTTTCATGTGTTTTACAAGACTTTGTGATTAAACAATTAAGGAATTCTAAACCTAAAAGTATGATTGGTGAAAAGTGCATGTAGTAAAGAAATATTTCAGATCTCAAGTTTTATGCTTGTTATTTAATAAAAAGAACATATAATAGACAAAGTAGCATTACAAAATATTATCAATATTTTGGGTAAGTAACAGCAATTAAAACTTTATTTTTAAAAGTATTTGTACATGAGGCCAACAAACATGAAAAAATGCTCATCATCACTGGTCATTAAAGAAATGCAAATCAAAACTACATTGAGATACCATCTCACGCCAGTTAGAATGGTGATCGTTAAAAAATCTAGAGACAACAGATGCTGGAGAGGATATGGAGAAATAGGAACACTTTTACACTGTTGTTGGGAGTGTAAATTAGTTCAACCACTGTGGAAGACAGTGTAGCGATTCCTCAAGGACCTAGAAATAGAAATTCCATTTGACCCAGCAATCCCATTACTGAGTATATATCCAAAGGATTATAAATCATTCTACTATAAGGACACATGCACACAAATGTTCATTGCAGCTCAGTTTACAATAGCAAAGACCTGGAACCAACAAAAATGCCCATCAATGATAGACTGGACAGGGAAAATGTGACACATATACACCATGGAGTACTATGCAGCCATAAAAAATGGTGTGTTCGTGTCCTAACCTGGAAACCATTATTCTCAGCAAACTGACACAAGAACAGAAAATCAAACACCGCATGTTCTCACTTATAGGCGGGTGTCGAACAATGAGAAGGCATGGACACAGGGAGGGGAGCATCACACACAGGGATCTGTCGGGGGGAAATAGGGGAGGGACAGCAGGGGGCGGGGAGTTGGGGAGAGATAGCATGGGGAGAAATGCCAGATACAGGTAATGGGGAGGCAGGTAGCAAATACACTGCCATGTGTGTACCTATGCAACAATCTTGCATGTTCTTCACATGTACCCCAAAACTTAAAATGCAATAAAAAAAGTACTTGTGAACACAAAAACATTCAGTAACATGAGCATCATATTTCTCTCAGCCTCTTCAGTGGCGTTAGCGCCACATATAATTTCAAGCAGGAGAAAGCCACCAAATTTTTATATCCTGATGTTAAAATCAGCCTCTAAATTCCCTAGGCCAAACTGTCTTCTTCTTATTGTAGGAAATCTAAAAAAAAAGTTTTTTCTCTACCTCCTCAGAATATATAGCATCTCATTTACCATCTTTGCTGGCCCCTTAGGAAAGAAATGTCAATACAAAAGTATTGCTAGGTTATAAAAGTTCTACTACTTGCCTCTGAACTGTACTATTAAGATTCTTCTTAGTTAGGCATGCACACTTTTGTGCTTTAAGCACACATGGCTAAAAGTGGTGATGATAGTGATGGTGATGATGAGATGATGATTTTGTATCATTCATCCTGTGTGCAACTAGGTCGGAAAAACTTTAGATCATTGTATGTGCTCTGTGAGCTTTGGAGAGCAAACATTTAACTTGTCACACAAGTCAACATCTATACTCTTACAAGCCACTGGTGAAATCTCATCACTGTACTGATTCCACAATTACTTGCAAGTCAATAGAAACTGTTTTTGTAGAGCCAAAACCCAAAGTGGAAAAAAACCATACCTCCATTAACAAGTGTTAAGACTTTACCATTTTAATCACGCTCTCTCACTGGCTTAAAATTATGACTTCTAGAGAGACATAGAGTATATTTTATTTCATTCTATTGATTGAAATTACAATTTTAAATGGAGAAAACCTACTCCTGTGGTTTTGCTGGAAATGCTTCTTGAAACCACATGGTCTTAAAGGAGCTTTGGAGGAAGTGACTGGTTATGGAACTGCTTCCAAGCTAGTCCAAAATGTTTCCAATTATGTATCGTGAAAGTACACTCAAGTGAAAAATCCATGCCAAATTAGGAAATAAGGTCTGATTTTAAAAACCACACCATTATCAATGACCTCTTTGTGGAATCAGATTACTAAACTACTGTATTTATACTATAAAGTGGAAAATTTTTATCAAGACAATCATTGAAATTGCTGCTAGTTCTGGAGGAAAATATGTAAAATAAGGGAGCACTTACTAAAAAGCATGAATCAACACATTTAAAGGTTTTCCAATGAGTAACTTAAGCTGCTGTTGAATATTTAATTTTATAGCCAGTGGTTTAAAAATTGGCATGGTATAGTACATATTTCTTGTTTTCCTAGTTTATTTTGTCAAATCCATTAACAAATACAAATTCATATAGATTATAGTAAATAGAGTGTGTTTTTATACCATTGATAATTAGCAGTGATAACATCTGAATAGATTTTCATGTAACAGCACTAAAATTCTATAGTCAGTGAGCCAAACAGAACCATCATTGATCATATTATCATAGACTTAGTAATGGTAAAGCTATTTTGTACAGCTGTGATCCTTAGAAGTTTCAGCACAACAAAAAGATTTCTTTTGTATGAACGATAGATTATTTCCCTTCAAAATTTAACTTATATCACAAAAACCAGATTTCAAAATCAGAAAAAGTAATGTGAATATATATTGATGTTAAAAATTTTACCACCCCCAAACTGTCTTGATATTAACTACTTCCCTTTTCCAAAATTTTTCTAGTTTTTCTGTATATCTAGTGCTGCATGTACTTCTAAACCTAAAATAAAAGTTACAAAAAAGAAAAACATATTTTTCTAAATATGTTATTTACTGTTTATTTATAAATACTTATTTTTAAATGTTACTTATTTCTAAATGTACAATTGACAATTTGACATCTTCAGTTTTTCTGATTCTTCTCATAATTGATTATACATTTTCTCTTTAAGTGTAAAGCAAAAAGAATGATCGAATCCACTTGTTTTTCAGTGTGCCAGCACAGTAAATGGAGGGGGATACAGAACCACCAGGGACTATCCCGATGATACCATCCGATTTGCAAGAAATCATCCACTAATGTACCAGGCCATAAAACCTGCCCATAAAAAACCAATCTTGGTAAAAACAGATGGAAAATATAACCTGAAACAAATAGCAGTGGATCGAGTGGAAGCTGAAGATGGCCAGTATGATGTCTTGTTTATTGGAACAGGTACAGAGATGAGAAAGTACTCAGAGACATTTAAATTGACCTTTAAATTAAGTAATTTTAATAATATTTCTAAAAGCACCTATCAACAAATCTGTTCATTGTTAACCCATTTCACACTGCTAAGCCAAATGAAAAAGAATGAAATAGAGACCTCATGTGACTGCAATAGTAAGAGTTTATGCCAATTATCTGGGAATATTATCACTTTCATTGTCAGGAGTGCCATGGTTTGACCAAAAAAATACGTGGTTTGTTTCAGATATGAGAAATATTAAAGCTACCAAAGAGAGGATTTGGGGCTTGTATAGCACATGCTTCCTTATACATAATCACTACTTCATATGCATCAATCAATAAATAAGTGAAGAGATGAATAATAGATGTTAATGAACAAAGTTGGTCCCAAATAGAAGTTCTCATAGTGGAAGTAGAGTGTGATAGCAAGATTGGTTCTATCAGTTTCCCACCTTTATTACTGCCTTTGCTCAGTGAGTCCCGGAGATTTTGTAAACAACTTGGAACTTGGGACAATAACTTCACCTAAATCTGCAAACATATTAATTCTTATGAGTCCACGTCAAGATCAACCATTTGTACCAAGCAGGCCCAATATTACCCATAATATCCTGTATTAATAAAGTATGATAAATATGCTAAAAGTGACATTTTCAAATAAATGTGTAATTTCAATTAACCCATACATTAGATCTAACTTGTAGAAGAGAACTTGAAATTTTTCAGCCTCCAGAGTAGTAGGTAGCAAATTCTTTGAAGTGTTTTAAAATCCTATAATCATTTTTAAAGTGTTTAAAATGATTCTTTTTATTTAGCATAGTAATTGCTAGAGTAGTTGATCTTTAGAGAAGTGAGCATTCTAACATACATGACTTTAATCATAGATATATAATTCCAAAGAAATATTGGAATAAGCCCAGATCAGGAAACAGGATGTAATATTAATATTAATATTGGTGCTTGGACTTCTCCAGTACTCCCTTTTTTTTTCTTTGAGATGGAATTTTGCAAGTGCAATGGCGTGATCTCAGCTCACTGCAACCTCCGCCTCCCGAGTTCAAGCGATTCTCCTGCCTCTGCCTCCAGAATAGCTAGGATTATGGGCATGTGCCACCACACCTGGCTAATTTTGTATTTTTAGTAGAGATGGGGTTTCTCCATGTCGGTCTGGCTGGTCTCAAACTTCTGACCTAAAGTGATCCGCCGGCCTTGGCCTCCCAAAGTTCTGGGATTACAGGCGTAAGCCACTGCACCCAGCCATTTGTTGTTTTTAAAAGCAAAGATTGGGCCGGGCGTGGTAGCTCATGCCTATAATCCCAGCACTTTGGGAGGCCAAGATGGGTGGATCACGAGGTCAAGAGATCGAGACCACACTGGTCAACATGGTGAAACTCCCGTCTCTACTAAAAATACAAAAATTAGCTGGGCATGGTGGCGCGTGCCTGTAATCCCAGCTACTCAGGAGGCTGAGGCAGGAGAATTGCCTGAACCCAGGAGGCAGAGGTTGCCGTGAGCTGAGATCCTGCCATTGCACTCCAGGCTGGGTAACGAGAGCGAAACTCCGTCTCAAAAAAAAAAAAAAAAGCAAAGATTTAAGCAATAAAACATCTATCTTATTCTTAGAAATTGATCTCTGGTACGAGCTGTATTTTATTCATTCATTTTAGGAAGTTAGTAAGTTAATATTAATAATGTACTCTGCACTGTAAGTTCAAGATTAACATGTCATCAGATTTCTTTAACAAACTTGAAATTACTTGGTCATAAATTCACTCATAGTGATTACCAACGAAATTTTTCAAAGCGTCATAATCAATAATAATATTTGATAAAAGTAATTAAAGTATTAGTTTGGTGCAAAAGTAATTGCGTTTTTTTTGCTGTTACTTTAATGACAAAAACCATGATAACTTTTGTACTAACCTAATTTGTTATTTGTAAATGCCCTGGAAAGGAGAAACCATATCTACCAGTCCAAGAATGTTTTTAGAAATACCTGCTTCTCATATTGATCAAAGTCATTCCAGAGAATTCCAGAAGTATCAAGCATCTATTTGTGCTGCCATATACACCATGTTTAAAGTAGCTTTCAGTAAAAATTGTCTTGCATCATGCATCACAGAAAAAGTAGCTAGAATAATTTGGCATCTTTCTTACATGTTATTAGTTCTAAAAGATATTTCTATTTTTAAATCTATGATTGGATATTTGGATCCAGCTATTTGAAATAATCATTATTTCCTCTTCTTTTCTGGCCAGGCATATAAAATTAATTTTGCTATTTAAAAATATGAGTTTATAAGTCATCATATTGTTTTAAACTGGCAGTGATTAAAATGTTTCATGCTTCTAGATTTCAAATCCTATTTGAATTTATAGTCACTACTTTTTTCTTTTCTTTTTCTTTTCTTTTCTTTTTTTTTTTTTTTTTTTTTTTTTTTTTTTTGAGATGAAGGCTTCTCTGTCATCCAGGCTGTAGTGCAGTGGCATGATCTTGGCTCACTGCAACCTCCGCCTCCCACATTCAAGCAATTCTCCTGCCTCAGCCTCCCGAGTAGCTATGATTACAGGCACTCACCACCACGCCTGGCTACTGTTTCTCTTTTGTCTTTTTAGTAGTGACAGGTTTTTGCCATGTTGGCCAGCTTAGTCTCGAACTTCTGACCTCAAGAGATACACCCTGCCCCAGCTTCCCAATGTGATAGGATTATAGGCATAAGCCATCTCACCCAGCCAGCTACGTGGATTTTGATTATTTGAAAACCAGACTGTGACATAGCTTCTAGTTTATTTCTTGTTTTGTTTTCTTGTAGATAATGGAATTGTGCTGAAAGTAATCACCATTTACAACCAGGAAATGGAATCAATGGAAGAAGTAATTCTAGAAGAACTTCAGATATTCAAGGTATTTAAAGTAAAAAATACAGACCAAATTTATGCATTGCAACTACAAGTGAGATGTAAATAGGAAAGATATTATGTCCATTTTTTACCAACAGGTGTGTTGTAGATTCAGAGCTAATGTAAGTGAATAATTATTTCAAATTTTAATACATCTATTTGATTTTTACAGACTTTTCAACTGAGAGGTCAATATGTACTTAGCATGGAAAAAATTTCAGTGAATAAACTGTGACTATAAAGAAATAACATTTATACTACTTATAATTTTCAAAGCCAGTATTACAGTCACAGTCTTGTACAAATGTACTATTAATGCTGAGAAAAAAATTATACATTTTCATATTGTGAACATTGTGGTAAGGTAAGCATACTGCTTTTTATTAAGTGCATCAATTATGCAAAGAATTTACTAAAAAAAAATAGAAAATGATAATGAAAAGATTAGATATGAAAAAACAATTACATATGCAGATACACATAGACATAGGTGCATGTGTGTATATATGTGTGTGTGTATGCATATATATATACCACACACGCACTTATACAACCCCCCCCAACACACACACACACATCAAGTCATATCATTTGCAGCAGTTTTGGTTTTAAAAGTGGTTGTAACACTGAACTATTGAATATTGATCACTGCTCCTGTGGGAAACAAGGGGTTATGTTCCAGCAGATTTCTAATTATAACATAACTGTCAACAGATCAATTTGTAACCTTCTTTTATGTGTGTTTGTGTTTAAAGATAGCTTATTTAATATGTACTACTGATGGATTAACATTGAACTAACAGACAACAATGCTATAATCCATGCCTGAATGAAGCTTTCAATGTTAAGGCACAGTGAAGCTTTTCTGAGTTTAGGAACATGAAACAGAACTTCAGCACTATGCTCGGGGGCCATTTAAAAAAATAAAACACCAACGAAAAGCACAGACATGTGACAACTTTGGCACTACATAATCCATGAAAAAGATACTTATTTACACTAAGAAAGCTGAAACAAGAAGGCAGAGTGACACCTTGTTTCATCTCAGCTGGGAATGTGCATGTCTTGTGACTCAATTTTTTTGCTCTTCTGAGTGTGCAGGTGTCCGTGAGTGAAAAACACACAATGTTTTGATATTGGGGATACAATAAATTTTAGCAAGTAGGTTAATTTGCAAGTACAGAATCTGTGAATAAAAAGGATTGGCTATATATGTTTATAATGGGTATATGTGAAAAGATTTTATAAATGAAAAGCAGTACATTTTGCCTTTGCTGTACTAAAATGCAGATTCTCTAGAATCACACCCAAACTTAACCACCATCCTGTATCAACCAGAGCAGCTATGCTTTTGTTTATTTTGCACTCTGGGACTCTATATAAGATTTTGTTTCATGCTATGAAATGAAATGTGTTTAGTATTTACTCACCACAGTGTTTTGTTCATGTAAACTCTTAAGAACATTGCTGCCTGATTGAATAAATGAATAAATGTATAAAAGCATAAAGATTCTGTAGTTTAAAATTAAAAAAAAACAACACTGACCTAGAGGATCAAATGTTCCCTTTTAGAAAACAGTTCTTCAAAGGATAATCATCCCTAGAGTGTATTTCACCTGCCTGTGGTTTTCCGCTTGCGTAGATGATCTGAGTTTATTGTTTTTCTTAGGGGTGGACTAGCCTTCACAATCCTAAAACAACATATTGATTCTCAAAGCTATGGTATAAATTGTTCTTCCTCTGGTGCAGTTCTAAGAAAATCAGGTTATTCATCTTCTTCAAAGGATCCTGAGTTAATTGTGATTCACCATGATCACTCCAACAGAAAAATATTTTGTTTAGGTTTGGGTTTAAATGATTAAAAATCACCTGGTTTATTAGCAATAACACCTACTGAAAGACACTGGTTTAATTTTGATGGTTCAGTTACATTAATAGAAAGAACATTCCGACTTTTTAACTTTATTTAAAGATACTTGAGTTTCCAAAGCACAAGTAATATTCAAATGCAAATACAAAAACCATATTCAAGAGGCAAACAATAAGCTGGTTGTATCACCTACGGCTCTTCTCATCTGCAAATCTGCCCACCTCATTAGAAAAAAAAAAGTTTTTAAAGCTGTATTTTAATTGTATTTGCATATTGATTTATTAAAATGAAAGCTATAGAGTACTTAACACAGAACCACTTACATAGCTAACGTAATTTCAGGAATTGACCAGCATATTAAGGTAAATGTTTTTATTTTATTTCTAAAAAATCTTTTTTAAAATTTCAGGATCCAGTTCCTATTATTTCTATGGAGATTTCTTCAAAGCGAGTAAGTTTTCTGTGTGTGTCTGTGTATGTGTGTAGATGTGTGTGTTCTATATGTAAAGGTCAAGGGATATGTGTTTATATCTGAACTTATTACAGTTTTATTTTTCTTTTATTGCTTTATTTTATTGTAGTAAGAACATGTGATCTACCCTAACAAAATATTAAGTGTGCAATACATGTTTAATGACTATAGGTAAAGTGTTAAACTGCAGACTTCTAAACCTTATTAATCTTGTTTGACTGAAACTTTATGTCCATTGACTGGTTCTGACAAAAGTATATCATGATTTACATTTAATACATGTCTTCATTTCTATGGAAAGGTAGATGAGAGTAGTTTTACTTCTATAATCATGATAGCACTTTATTCCCTGGTTATTTTTCAATAATGTTTTCCAAAAACAGTTGTAACAATGATAATCCAAGAGTGTACAATGAAACACATCTCTGTTCTACTTCATTGAAATCGTTTAATGTAAACTTCTTTAGAAACACTTGTACATACTGCACCAAATTTATTTATAAATGATTCTTCATGTTCATGCAAAAGGAAAGATATGATACTAAATGTTCAGCTACTTGTTCTGTAGATAGATAGATAGATATACACATCATTCTTCTTAATGTTATATGTCAGTATTTAAAAGGCCATTTACTTTCCAATTCTCTTATTAATTATTCCTGTAGATTTGTTTTCTGTTTTGAGATAGGGTCTCACTGTGTTACCCAGGCTGGAGTTTCAGTGGTGCAATTACAGCTCACTGCAGCCTCGACATCCCAGGCTCAGGTCATCCTCCTACCTCAGCCTACCGAGTAGCTGGGACCACAGGTGTGTGCTACCATGTCCAACTAATTTTGTATTTTTTGTAGAGACAGAGTTTTGCCATGTTGCCCAGGCTGGTCTCAAACTCCTGGGCTCAAGCAATTCACCTGCCTTAGCCTCCCAAAGTGCTGGGATTACAGGCATAAGCCACTGCACTCAGCTGTTTCCATAGTTCTTTAAAAAAAGATCTGCAGTGTTGGATAATGCAAGACAGTAAACACAGCTTTTTGAGTTGTTGTCAAGTTCAGTCTAGCAATTTTGGTACTCCTGCATTTATGTCTATGAACATATCTCAAATTTTAGAGAAATGAAAATATAAATATTCTACTATCTATATTGAACAACTGCTATTTTTTTTTTTTTTTTTTTTTCATGATGGAGTTTAACTGTTGTCTCCCGGGCTGGAGTGCAGTGGCACGATCTTGGCTCACTGTAACCTCCACCTCCAAGGTTCAAGCAATTCTCCTGCCCTAGCCTCCTAAGTAGCTGGGATTACAGGTGCCCACTACCATGCCTGGCTAATTTTTTGTGTTTTTAGTAGAGATGGGGTTTCACCGCATGGGGCAGCCTGGTCTCAAACTCCTGAAACTGCTGTAATTTAAGTGAATTTTTACTGAGGTGATTGTGTGCAAATGTGAAAACTAGGTGTAAGAGCTCAGTGTAAGTTTTGTCCATTGCTGCTAGTGACCTCTTTTTGATTTCTATAGCAACAGCTATATATTGGATCTGCTTCTGCCGTGGCTCAAGTCAGATTCCATCACTGTGACATGTATGGAAGTGCTTGTGCTGACTGTTGCCTGGCTCGAGACCCTTACTGTGCCTGGGATGGCATATCCTGCTCCCGGTATTATCCAACAAGTACACATGCAAAAAGGTGAGACATGATACCTGATGAACTATTTCTCTTGCTCAGGAAAACCCTCATAACTCTAATCCTGTTTTTTTTTTTCCTCTTCTTTTTTTTTTTTTTTTTTTTTTTTGGTCTTTTTCTTTTTTGCATACATTCCATGAAAAATAACCAAGCTATTTTTATTTAAATAAATCATCATAATTATATTTTGTTCATAATAGAAACTTTGAAAGCTTGAAGCTTTCCAGAAAATACCTGTATTAATTATTGTTGATAGAGACTGGAGCTGAACATGCTGTTGACCTTTTATTTTTTCACCCAGGTTTGAGTCAGTTCTTCCCTCTTTTGAAACTTTTGCTGCAAGACATGAAACGAGTTTAGATAAAGTGGAAATGTGGAAATGGTGAGCCACCACACATGAGAGATTCAAAGACTTAAAAAGAAAATAAAGAAAGAAATTCTAAAATACATCCTGCATTTGCCCCATGTCCTTTCTACCAGCTGGTCTTCATTTATTTCATTTTGAAAGTGAATATTTTAACTCCTAGGCAAATGCATGACCTGTATAATTAATGAAATGTGTGATTTAATTCAACACAAATGAAAGGTACTTAAAGACCTCCAAACTCCAATGTCTACAATTCTGTGAGGTCATTTCCATTTCCTACAGAAGGTAAATCCCAGGATTCTTTAAGCAGAGATCTTGAGGTGCAGTTAAGTATTTTGAAGAATAAGGATATCTCTTCACTCAAGCCATATGAAGTTGTGCATTCTTTGTGGAAATACCTCAGGAAAAATGTATTTTTGTTTCTTACAGAATAAGCAGTTTCTTTCTTGTAATAGATGACCAAAGATAAAATAAAAGGCAAAATAGAAGTATAGACAATTTTCCTACTGAAAACCAGTTTCTATTAATTTCAGTTATTTTTATTATTTAACTTTGGGTTGCATTTCTGTAAACCTTTTTCAGAATATAATTTAACCCAATTTAGTGTAGTTCTTGTTTTATATGTTCAAATATGTAGTAGAATCTCATTTAAACTTCACTCATTCAAAACTTTTGTTAATTTTACTTGAGCTAAATTAACACTCCAGTGAGTATTTTAAGAAATGATATAATAAGCAGATAGTAAAATTATGCTTTGAGAGGACATGTCTGAGCTAAATTTACCAACTGTGTTACAGAATTGAACAAATTAATTGATTTTGCAGAATGCTTCTTGATGTTTGAAAACAATTCTCAAAGACTATAGTCATATAATTATCTGAAAGTATTAACTATTAGTGTATTTGCCTATTAAGCCAATTACTATATTATGTGCAAGGGTTATGAAGAAATAATCATAACCTCTTGTCTAAAGGAAATTGAAAACTAAAGTGAAGAATGGAATTGTAAATAATGATAGTAAGTAGTAGCTTGCTATTGAGCACTTACTATGGATGAGGTACTGGATTAAGAGCAATGCATTTAAAACTTTATTTGATTCTCAAAATAATATGGCTTTTGAACTTAATCTGGAAGGTAGATATGTAAGATGATTCCAGTCAAAGGGAATTAATTGTCTGTACAAATAAATAGAATGCTTAGGGAAAAGCATGCAGTACCATGGATCAGGAGTGAAATAATAGAAGAATATGAGGGTAGAATGTGAATTTTACCACAAATAATAACATTATTTTATTTTTATTAGCAACAATACAAATATTTATAAGCTTTGCACCAAATGCTTATGAATGACAAGGTTTTGTGTTAGGCATGCAGTAGTGATAAGGAATTTTAATTTAGCAGCTTCCATCTTTTTATTTTTATTTTTATTTTTATTTTTTTAGTATATGATGCATCTTTTAACAGTGTACAGCCCTAAGCTTGATAACATAGTAGATGTGGTGGACAAAAAGAGTTACTTAGAAAAAGTCAAATGAATGAGAAAAGTAGTAGACAGGAAGGCATGAAATGCAGGAGTCAGAAGCTGTGCTCATAAATGAATTAGTTCAATTCAGTGACATGTAATGGAGATCTTTCAGTGGTGTCAAATTCTTTTGAACCATCACTCACCCCTGGAGGAGAACTCTTTGGATAAGTTCCAACACATGAAGGCAAAGTGGTTTGCTTTTATAGCAGATCGTTTTTGCTTCAGACCTGAATAGAAGCAGAAATTGAAAACTAGTCATTAAAATAAATACTTTTCTGTTCACAGTGTGAAAATGAGTCAACAGAGGAAAAACATTAATTCACAATCCAAACCAGTTGTTTAAAATGATCTTCCAAAATACATTGTAGTTTATAATGCTAGGTCTTTTTCTTCCCCTTGCTCTTGTATTTTGCCTATTTCCAGTATTCTCTTTAAAAATTTATAGGAGAGGCTAGAGATATAAGAATAATATAAAACTTTGAGAATGAAAGCAACTTTGCTCAACCTTTCTGAAACTCCTCCATACAAACACACACACACACGTACTAAAGAAAAGGAATAAATGACAACTATATGGGGATAATATAAAATGAACTGAAACCTTGCTGGAGAATGTGGCATATTTCTTTTTAAATATATATTTCCAATAACTTTTAGCAATATTTGTGCACTCAGTTCTGGATGTTGCTTATCTAGAATTATTTAATTATAGCTTCCTTATCCTCACATCACTTGTATAATAATCTTTATACAACATCATCTCTGCAAAGGGGAAGCCATTTCTCATTTCACTGATTTTATTCTTATCCATTATTCATTATTGCTCATCAGGCTTTAGGTTCTCAATATAGAAGCAATACTCAACAAAGTGAGAAATTAACAACAGCATTTTAATTCTCATCTAGATCTGCTATTAGTTGTATCATAGTTGTATATGCTAGTATAATGTAGAAGCTAAAACATACTTTTGTCACAGGTCATAATCCCAAAAATTGATTGGAGATGTTCATCTGCCCTAGTTTTCAGTATATATTTATATGTTAAATAAGATCTGAACTCCTGTGTGAGAAAGCACTTGATCACTTGAAATAGCACGCTATTATTGTTATGTATAAACAGTGTACCCTAGAATGAAAAGAAGAGAGACTGAAATAGCTTTTAGGTGTCATTTTGCCACCTTTATTTTACAAGGGAGGACCCAAAGAGCCAGGAAAGGGAAGAAATGTGCATATGATCATGCAGAATATTAGTGGTGGTATTGGGAATTGAATCTGGTTCACTTTTCCAAATTTCGTCATTGCATATGGTTAAAGCATCTCATTGTCACTTTGGAAGCTATACTATCACCCTCCAGGGTAAAACTTCTGCTTTGCCTTCTGTTTTTCCCTCAGTCTTGAAGAAATGCCATGAATTAGAGAAGCAAGTGATATTTTCCACCTTTATGTAATACTTCTATTTTAATCTGTAAACTAAATTAAGTATCTCAGAGATCTTGATTTAGAATTTCAATGCTATTAATACTAATGATAATTTTCATTGTTTAATCCCTCAGAAAAATGCTTACAAATTATATCATTTTATATATACATGTATATAAAATGTTATATATTTAAAGGATTATGTTTTTATATATAGTCAAAACATCATATATATGTTAGAATTATATATATATATAATGTCATATATATTCAAAACATTGTATATATTGTGTCTATTCTGGAAATATATATATATATATATATATATATATATATATATATATGGTTTGGAATTTCTCCACAGATACAGAATATTGTGTTTCTTTCAGTTATATATCTAAACAATCTATGAAATTAAAAATATACTAGAAATGTCTCTGATTATGCTAGGCAGATTGAGGGGAAAAATATTAATATTTCTTGAGTCCCACTAGATGCACAACATACTGCTAAACGTGAATAGCACACCATCACATCGAATAGAGCCATACACTTTCTCAATGTTATATCTGAATAGTAAGCTGAGTACAGTATATTATTAGTTTATATCTTATTTTTAGAAATTCTGTTTGTACTATTGATTATCATGGCTATAGAGCAAAATATTTTAGATTCTAACACCTTTTTCATTTGCACTTTATTATATATGGGAGTTTTATACTCCAAATAACTGTTTTGTACTCACTAAATACTCTACTTCAAATCCCATTGTCTTTATTTGCCCAAATACTTTACCATTCAAGACATTCTTAAACTAGAAGATTTCTTGTTGAACTAAATTTTTAACAGAAAGTGAAGAGAAATTTATTCAATTGTTGTTTGAGTTTCCATAATTCAACATTATGTAAATTAAAAACAGGGTAACATAGATCTTAACTACTGAAGAACATATAATGGAAATATGAAAAACTATGAAACTTGGATTTTATCCTTATTTCATATGAGTGATCTTTTTTTCAGTAGCAGAATACTACTTATATATTTAATGCAATTGGCTATATTTTAAAGCCTAGGAAATTGAAATATGAACATCTAAATGCATTTACTTTCTTTCAGGCGTTTCCGCAGACAAGATGTTCGGCATGGAAATGCAGCTCAGCAGTGCTTTGGACAACAGTTTGTTGGTAATCTATAGAAAATCAATTGTTCTGGGTTACTTGGAGAATACATTGAAGATAAACTGCAAACTTCTTAAAAGAGTTTTATTTTCTTTGCGATTCATGTGTACTAGAACAATGTAATGAGAAGTATTCTTTTTCTCTCACATGTAGTTAAAATTTTGTAAATGTGACATCTAATTTTACATGATTAAGAAAATAAGTTTTATGCACCACCACCAAGCTTTGTTATTAAGCTAATTATTAAAACAGAAACCCTGGAACAAGAATGCTGCATACTTTAGGTGGTAGATACCACAGTAACTCATATGATTTACTGCTTTATCTCATACTGAGGAATATCTTCACCATGTTATGTAGCTTCTGGGAATTTTATCAACCGATATTACTTGTATCAAGCCATCTCCTAAGCTTTGAGATAGATAAAGTGAAAAAGCTTTCACTCTTTTACCTAAGTTGACTAAGTGTAGGGCTGGGGTTGGTGATTCAAAAAAGGTGATAGGATGGTGGTCTCTGATGGGCAAGGAAAGGGGGAAATTTCATCTTTAGGCAAAAGTAAGGAAGTTAAGACAGACTTTCTCTATTAACAGTCTCCTGAGTCTTTCTGTTATGGTGGTGATTGTTGAATAGGCTATATTTAGTGTCACTGAGCTCACTAGGAAGTAACAAGAAGAAAGGATACCATACATGAGAAACCAGAAGTGGTTATAGGCAGAGTCAGAAACTATGCTCCAGCATCACTATGCTGGACCCCAGGCTGACCAGGATTCAGTGGAGGACTCAAGCCTCTGGGAACACTGGCAAGAGAAAAGCAGGACCTTCATCTTAGGGAAGTTTAGGGGTTAGTTCTGAAGGTACGTAGGATTCAGGCATAGGAAAACTAAGTCCAGGGGTCCAGTTATTGAGTCTTGGTTAAAAAAGAAAAAGAGTAATCCTGCTTTCTTTTATTCCCTACTGCAGCTAAGTGTACTTGCCTGAGTTCAAGTCCAGTGAGAGCCTTTCTGGTCCAAGACATAGATTATAATCAAGCTCTATTTCATGAAGTCCCTAGTTCAGTTTCATATTCCCTTCTCACTGCAGGAGCCCAACAGCCAGATAAATTCAATCCCTTGTCAAGATATCTTCACATTTGTGTTTATGTAGTGGCATTTTGCCTGCATTTCTGGTTTCTGCTTTTGTTTGTAACCATGAATTTCATTCTGGGCTTTGGTGCTCCTTTTCTCTTCCCTCAGTAGAGGTTGCAATAGACTTTCCATGAGTTTAACACTGACACTTCTTACTGCCTTGACTATCCCATCTCATCCTTTGCAATCAGACTCTCAGTTGTCGGCTCTGTCCCACCCCTTAGCCTGCTTGCTTGTTTCATGCCTAGATTTTGGTATGCCACTCTTGCTAAATAATTCCTTTAAATTGCCCTTTACAGAAATGAGCAATAGGTAATGAGCTAATCACGTTACTACAGGGATCTAAATAATGTTTAAAATTTTTATTTACTTGTAAAAATCTAAGTCTCAAAGATGGCATTAATGTTCCTGTTGTAGGGGATGCTTTGGATAAGACTGAAGAACATCTGGCTTATGGCATAGAGAACAACAGTTCTTTGCTGGAATGTACCCCACGATCTTTACAAGCAAAAGTTATCTGGTTTGTACAGAAAGGACATGAGACCAGAAAAGAGGAGGTAATTCATAGCTGCACAGTCACAGCATAGTGTTTTACATATAGTATGTGATCAGTAAATAGGTTATTTATTTGGATGCTGAAAAATGAAGCTAGCTCTTTTACTATGTATTTCTTATTTTAAAAGTTGTTTTATTATGTGATTTATATACATATAAAAATGTTAATACATATACATATAGATTTTGTATGCATATACCATATAAATATATATATGTTATACACATACAGAAATCATTAATTTGGATCTTGGAAATAGGAATTTTTAATAGAGGTACTTATAACTCATTACAGTCGTGTTGTCAAAATGATAGTCTTAACTTGTGACACTCAAGGCAATGGTGTAGAGAAATAGCAAACTTAACTATCATGAACACATTTGTCTTAGGCATATGAGTAATAATAGAATTAGAATAACAACACAGCTGCAACATTAAGCCTGTCATATAAGAAAGCTTTTCAGTCATATATGAGACATTGACTCAAGGGTTCTTGACCACTGGAAACAAAAGAAAGGCCCCAGCTCTTTCATCCTTTTTAGCAGTTGTGGTGGTGGAGATTGTATTTCTGTAATCATCTAAATGATAGGAGAGGAATGACTTGACTGCTTTTAGAGATGGAAAGATAGGCAGCTTTAAAGCATTTATGTAAAATAGGAGGCAGTTACTGGATAAATGAATGTGAGTCAAGTGCTGTCTATAGAAAGAGTCCAGGACATAAAAAGTGAGGTAAGGCAGATCATGGTGATGTGGCCTTTGAACTCAGTTTTGTAAAAGTGGAATTATAAGGATAGCAAGTAGAAATGGATATTTTACAGCGAAAAAGAACTTGGTGAATATTGAAAAAATGATCTTTGGTAAAGAAAAGGTTGCAAGTTGAATAATGAAAATAAGTTCTAGAGACCTGCCTTTGGTCACAGAGAAGAGGTAATAGGTGCATTTTGGATGGAGAGTGAATCAGTGAATCAGTGGAAGGCTTCACCTTGTTTTGGCAGTGGAGACTAAACATTTGTCATTGGAACACAAAGTTAGTGATTCCAAATGTGGAGCACTTTGACTTTTTATTCCTTTTTTCCTAGCCTATGGTGAAACTAAAAACCCAACATATTTGGTTCAAAATCATACAGTACATTCTGGGAAATAATTAAATTTGTAAATCCTTGGTTCTTTGGATAGGTTTTAGAAAGAAAGTCACCTCAACTTAACAAAGGCCATTTGTTAAGTTGAAATGCGATCAGGAAAGGAAAATTCTCTTCATGATGTCATAAAAATAAACACATGTCCAAATGTTGTAGCATATTGCACTGAATTAAATTGTTAATTTAGTATTAAAGTATTTTCCACTTCACAAATCTGAGGTGAAATGGCCTTTTAAATTCCTCATAACTCCCTTGGCAGAAAAGGACCTGGTGATATTCCATAGTTCCTCGAAGCAGAATGGCTTCAGAAGACAAAGAAGGAATTCTTTTATCAGTGATTTTCCTCACTCAGTATGTTCTGTTTCTAATTTGGAACTTACCATAATCTGCCTCATTTGGAAAACTTTACCAAATCATTTGACATGCTGTATCCATCGATGTTCAATTATAAGGTTCTCATATTGTCTATATAATCTACATCTCCATTCCTATAATTTTTAGTACCTGTTTTCAACTACATTCAAATGTCCCCAACTAATATATTTGCTGATATTTCGGCTCCAAATTTACTCTCTGCATCTAGTCATAATCAGGTAATATTAATACTTGGCTTTTATGGGTCTATCAATATATGAATTGATTTATTCACAATATAAAACGGACAAAACACAAAATTGCTGACCTTATTGAAGTCTGAATATACATGATATATACACTAAGCAGAAAAACTTTGCATGTGAATTCTTAATTTTATTTAATAACTTTTTTTGCATTATTGACATCTGTATGTCTCATTTTTGTGAAACATAATTACCTTCTTATCAAATCTTTATTTGTACCCCTGACAATGCTTATTAAGGTTCGTCTCTGATGCTACAGACCGTGAGAAGTCATTAATTTATCAGATCACAGAGTATACCCATTTTCCCTTTATTTAACTGAAATTTTTGATTCTATGATAACTGCTTGTTCAGATTCAAACTCAGTCCTCTGGAGTTACCCAGAAGCAACATATCCATGTGGATAATATTTTTGCCCACATTAATCTTTAGAAATTGAATTAATCTTTAGAAACATACCTGAATTCTTAGAAAGCACTGAAAGGAAATTAATTATCTACTTTCTAAACACTGGATTATAGTAATTCTCTCAAATGCACATTTTATCGACTCCTGCTTTCTTAAATAAAGCAAATGGAACATAATATCTATACATTTTATTAATTCTATAAGTATTTATTGAAAGCCTACTTTTCTAGATACTTCGTAGGGAGTATTTTTCCTTGGCTTGAAGATCTGTTTAATTTTAATGTCATAATAAGCTTCCATGAATTATAAATGTAAATTAAATATACAAGACTATATATATATATATATATCACCAATTATTGTGATTTACTGACAGAAAAGAGACTTAATAAAACAGAATTGATAACTGAGGCTGTTATTTATATGTACCTATTGCAAACAGGAAGTGAGTAGGTACCTGGTTATTCCTAGATCTCACAACTGCAAGTTAGTCATAATTGTCTTCATCTTACACATGCAGAAACTAAAACTCACAGAGTTATGGCTCATACACAAAGTCAGTGACAGACCTGACATTTGAACTCAGGTATTCTTAACTCTAAAGCTGTGCTGTTTCACATTCATTGTCGAAGTACCAAGGACTGTTCTATATGCATTTTATGGAATATATCATTTTATTATAAAGAATTGGTTTATAGATGAGGTAACTGAGGCACAGAATGTTTAATAACTCCCTGATTACTTGCAGCTAGTAAAGTAGGTTCAAATCCAGGTGTCTGTAATTTCGACTAAACCACAAAGTCTTCTGAAATAAAAATTTTAAATGTAGCTTCAGATGCTTTTGGGACATAGAACAAATGGAAAACTTTATGGCAGAAGTTCTGGGATTCAATTTCTAAAACATGCTCCTGATGTCAGATTGATCCTTATATAGATTTTTCTTTGTCAGGGTTGAATGAAGCATGCTGCTGCAGCCTTGGTGGCAAAGGCACTATTCCTCATTGTCAGATGTCAGAGAACCTGCCCATAATTTGAACCATCCCCACTCTAAGCACTGATGACATGAGCTATTGTTATATATAACACACACAGTATAGACATCAATGTGTTTCCATTCCTAAATTGTCTTTTCAAGCTTCTATATGCCTGTTGGTACAACATGACCTCTATATCAAAGAAAATGTGACCCACACTTTGAACCTATGTAGATGTAAAATTCAGAGTATTCTTTCTTATTTTATTGGATTTTTTTCACTAAAAGAAATGTTTTATTCGTTTGAATTTATTTATTAAACACTTAATATGTCATACTTTATAGAACTTATATTTGGGAGAACATGGGAAGACAATAATAACAATAACAAATTAATAATATTAAATATGTCAAATAATGATTTAAAAATGCAAGAGAGGTTAAATTATAGGGAGAAGCTGGAATTTTTAAAGGGTGGCCATTTTTACGATGACCTTGCTGAGAAGGTCATCATAAAAGTGACACTCGAAAAAAGATCTGAAAATGTTAAGGGCATAGGTCATGTGACAGTACAAGATAAAAACTTTCTGGGCTTTGGGAACAGCAGATGCTAAGACCCTTGATATAGGAGTGTATATGATATACTCAAAGAATAGCCGAGTGAAGAGCAATGTGGCTGGAGGTTAGTGAGCAGTAGAGAGACTAATAGACTATGCATCAGAGAGGTGAGGACAAGAGATAGCTCATGCAGGGAGCTACAGCCATTTCATAGGGTTTTAGTGCTTGTCTGAATTGAAAAGGAAGCCACTGAGTATTTTCAGCAGAGCTGTGACATCATTAACATTTGTATTTATAAAGATTACTTTGGTTATTATATTAAGATGATAGTATGTTGGCATGGGGATAAGGGTGGAAGCAGGTAGTCATTGAGGTAATCGGAACACACAGTATTAAAGTATAAATCTTCATGATTAAAGACAGCTCTTAATGTGCCGTATGCCTTCAAGACCAGATGATTTGCAAGTGACTGCCTCATACACATTGTAGCAATACTCTTTGCTATATTTTTCACTATTAAGAAATGTGAAGGCTGTTTAACATCTCAAATGGAATACTTTTTGGACTCTCTGTTCTCTTCTCTCTGTTTAACTGTCTGGAATTGGTGTTTGAACTCAATAAATATCCACTCAGAGTCTACTGTAGTAGGCAATGAATCAATCACGGTCTTAGCTCTTGTGAAGTCTACAGTCTTATAATGAAGACAAGAGTGCAAACAGATAATTATATGTGTCCCTTAAAAGTTCTGTTGAAACCAAGGAAAAAGAAAATTGTCTCAACCAAGAGATTGGGTAGGGAAGTGGCATAATAACCAATTGAGAAAGACTCATGGCAGAGATGACATTTAAGCCACATCTTTAAGGATGAGTGGAGGTAATTAGTAGAGAGAATAATGTTAGCTCATGTTACAAAGATGAAAAACAATATGGTATATCTAAATCATGATAGGAAATGAGCATGCAAAAATGAGTAGACAGATCAAGGAATCCATTTCAATTTGTCTCGAAGCCAATGAGAACAACTTAGCTTGACTGTGTATGCAAACTATTCTAGAAACTGGCACACAGACTTAGGAGATAAATAGAATGTCAAGAATATTTAGGATGATACTTTAATAGTCAATGAAAAAATATTGTACCACATGAACTAAATAGTGTAGTAGAAAGGGAGAAGACAGATTTCAATTTTTATGAGATGATATTAAGTGAATTTCATATTTGAGATAAAAGAGCAGCAATCACAAAATATTCATATGTTTATTGTTGAGTCACTGTGTGGCAAATGGCACAGTAACATGATTTCAG